GATATATTCAAACACCATATGTATTCTGCTAAATTTCGACAAATTTACATTCAGAGGGTTGATTGTTGTTGATTGTTTCATTACCAAACAGCAGACATAGGTTTTGATATTGTGTAAGCACATTAATGTTGTACTAACACGCAGTAGCATTTAGATTTAAATCTTTTCTGTTGATAACCTTGATTACTTTACCTGAAACAAACCTAAAACTATGACAGAAAAAGTTACAGGAATTCTCAAATAAACCAACAAAATTCATCCATTGCTTATAATCTAGTCTCCAAACTGGTCACTTTGAGCTCACTGCAGTTTTAAAATCAATAACGCAGCACTTTTGTTGTGTTTCAACTACAAAATTTCCTTGGTTGAAAAACAAAACGTCGTCAACAAACAATAATAAAAAAAAAAAATCAGTCAAATGGTGTCTGATTCAGAAAATATGGACACTCCAAGGAGTGATGGTAAAAAAATTATTTGAGGTCATAATAATCTGCTTAAGAAACCCAACACGGGTTTTCAATCCGTGCACATAGTTTAGTAAATCCCAAGTTAGCAATTAGGGTTGGGTAATATTGGCAAAAAAAATCACAATTAATTGTGGTATTTAGCCAATAACAATTCATTTGACGATTAATCCCCAGGACACCCTTATGCCCTAATCACATGACCAATTCAGTGGGAAAGACTTGCTCTTCGTAAAAATCTGTTCCAAGTTGTATCAAAATTACAGACTTCAGGCTGTACATCAAATTTTAAATTGTGTTGGWAGATAAATAAATTACAGAACYTTTTTTWAAATGTTTGTCATATTTGAAGYGGAGAKGAGCATCGAGCAGACTAACCGGAGTAATCCCCRGTCAGTCTGCCTRGTRGCATTAATCGTATTAATCGTYAAGTRCCAAAAACTAATCAATTAATGTTTTYCTGAYGATTAATTGCACACGATACGATTATGTCCAACCCTATTAGCAATAGCACTGGTGTCTGTGTGCAGCAGGTGTTGTGCTTTGATTTGTTCTCAGTTTGGGTGAAGAAAATGAAAGACAAGGGTGTACAGACTGTTTACAAGTTGCAAATTCAGGCTGTAGCATCATTAAAATTATCCACGTTTTCACCTAAATCACACCAGACATTTATCTCCTCTCTAAACAACTGTCCAGTTTAGAGTTTGAGCTGTTTTATACTAAATCTCAAGGAGGTAAAGTTTGTAATTTTACATGTTTTATGGTTTGTTTAAAAATGTTACTGAACCCAAATGATGATGTATTGCTTGCTTCTCAAACAGTTAGGAAACACACAGATTGATAAATTGATACCCGTGACCTCAAATTTTATTTCCACCATGACCCCTGGGACGGGGGGCTCCGTAGGAAACATACGACCTGTATTCTTACTTTTTTTTTATTTTCCCACTGTGAGACCACCTCAGTTTCTATGACAACCACACACATAAGTCACCCCGCTGCTTACATGTTTGCCATTCACTTGTTAGTGAGTGTGTAGTTGTGTGTGTGTTAAACCCAGAGGGGAGACTGCTCTGAAACACATAAAGTGTTTGAGAGAAGACAACAACAGGGACAGAATGAAGGCAGAGAGCACACAGCGGTGCCATCACACAATGAGCAGTACAACAGATGGTGCTGCCTGCAGCCCAGAACCTCCCAACACTTTGTGCAGCGGTGGAGAGAAAAGCAGGGATGTTTCATGATGCTCGACATCCTTCTCTCAGTCAGTCCTACACCATCACTGTAAAATATTTTTTATTGAATAWTTTGAAAGTGACTTTAGACTTGAGTGGTGGAGACGCATCTAATTACTGCAAATAATGAATACCAGCACGCGACAGCTCGGACTACAATCATCCTGTCACCTGGCAAGCAACAGTTTTTTTTCTTCTTCCTCTCAGACACAACAAATATGGACACAAGTCCTGCAGCAGAGGTTGCCAGACTACTGAGCAAATGAAAGAGCAGTTCAATTTAAAACAGACATCCCAGACTAGCCAGTAAAAACAGAGACTCTCACCCCCTACAGACAAACACAATTCACCTTTTACTTAAAATACAAAAGCTGACAAATGGTCCAATAAAAACCATAAATATGTTCAGTTCCTGGAAAGGAAACTCTAAAGAAATGGTACCACTTAGACGTTTTCTTCGAGCGCATCAGAAGCAAATATAAAAATCTTTCTGAAGTAGTTTTTCAGTCAGCAAAAAGTACATTTCAGATAGAGCTGCCACGATTAGTTGACTATTAAAATCGTAATTTAATAGTTGATGCATCGCTTTTTTGTTTCTAACTTTTTTTTCTCACCAAACTGCTGCAGCACCCTCCACTGCTGCGTCTACCTTTCTGTCCTTGACACACATGTGCAGTAGTGGCAATTAGGGCTGCCACTATCAATTATATATTTATATTTTTTGTATTTGTACATCGAATATTAAATTAGTCATTGACGATTTTAATAGTTGACATAATCGTGACTAGTCATCTAATCATGGCAGCCCTGATTTCAGTGGGTTGATAAAAGTAGAGTGTGCACTCACTCAGACACTGTACAACTTTTATTTGTGGACATGTTGCTTTGGGGTGTAAGTAAGCCTGGTTACGAAACACAAAATGCAGTAAATCCTACTGGTTCTCCAACTTGCAGCTAAAACATTTATAGATGCATTCCATTGCAGACATGGGCGATTCTGAACTGATATGCTAATGTCAAAAATTGGTAAATAATTACATAATATTGATGAACACATAAGAGACAGAAGTGTCACAATGCAGAGGCCAGATAGTCTACTGTATGACGAACACACAACAGACACAAGTAGAAGATGGGAGATTTACTGTGTGACTGAAAGTGAATTGAAAATATAAAAACTTTGCTTTAAAACTACAAAGCAGTTAGACGGGTGTGGAGGTGTGGGAGGGTGCATCAAGATCATTAAAATGCAGCAATAATATTTTATACTTTATTGATTTATACTATATTAGTTAAATTGTGAGGTGCCGAAAGATTCCCAACCCTTTTTTAGGCAACCTTTGTCATGATCACAACTGGTCTCTTTGAGTTTTTCAGTGGTTACTATTTAATGGTTGACTTGGCTGTAAGGCCATTGCCAAAATCCTGATGTCTGACCACCAAAGCAAATGAGCCAAACCGCCGATACCTCACAAGTCATAACTTCAGAACGAAGTCATGATGTCTCTTCCAAGTTTACAGGTTTCACTGTTATGAAGACCTGTACGGTCCAGCCAAGTACTTTGTTAACACTGAATGTGTAACCGCATATCAATATATCTGGAAAACAACCGAGGAAACACTTTCAAAACTGCACTTTAAGATCCAGTTCAGGACAACCTTTTTATGTCTGGTTTTACACTTTGTGATGAGCACATTTAACTGCTAGTGTGAGGATTTATTTATAATTGATTTACAATTGATTATAACTGCTTAAAATATGAACTGATTCATAAAAAATGTTTTTGCACAAGAGTAAGTTATGTCTTTAAGTCAAATTCAGTTTGATACTTGGTCACAAAAATGTTTTGTGATGACATATTTATTTATTTTGAAGTTACATTCTGCAACTAAGACAACAGATGTTTACAGTTAGATACAGGGACAAAAAAGATGATGTTAAAAGAAAAGAAACATATTTGGTTATAAAATTATGACAGTTCATTTTGTTGAAAAAAAAATGAATTGTAATTGTGAACTTAAAATCTGTATTTCTAGACTGTATTTCTGTATTTTGCAGACTGTACTTCTGAAGGAAGATCCTTCAATGTCTGCAGCAAGATGCTGCAGATCTTCTACAAGTCTGTTGGTGAGAGTGTCATCTCTTCTGCCATCATCTGTTGGGGCAGCAGCATCAGAGCCAGAGACCTAAAAAGGCTAAACAACCTGATAAAGAAGGCTGGTGCTGTTCTGGGGACGACTGTGGAATCTCTGGAGATGATGGTGCAAAGAAGGATTTTACATAAAATCAAGAACATTGTGGACAACCCTGATCATCCTCTTCATCAGACTGTCATAGAAAGACAAAGTGTCTTCAGTCGGAGGCTTCTTCAACTTCGCTGTAATACAGACCGCTACAGAAGATCTTTCCTGCCCACAGCCATCAGCATCTACAATAAGTTTTTAGTTAAATGAGTTACAACAACACCTAATTTCCCTCTGGGATCAATAAAGTATTTTTGAATTGAATTGTATCAAATCGGTTGAGTGAATCGGTACATCCCTTATTAACTGRATTACRTGTTAAAAATAACAACTGTATTCACAAAGAAAATCTACCAACAAGAGACAAATTAAGATAATTTATAATACTTGCTTTATTACTTAAAAATAACTTTTGCTTACTTGGCAGCTATACTAGTGATATGCATCCATTTTTAATTATTTTGTCCCCAGAATAAAACTTAAATCTGCTGTCTGCCCCTCAGAGCACAGCCTCATTCCCTCTACCTGTCACAATGGTTGATAATTAACTTTTGATAATTAACACTTTTCATGTGCGTTTTATGGTTTGGGGGTTAAGTATTCAGCTTATTTACTCTGATGCTGCTTCAGTTGTTGTTGTTTTATTTTATTGTTAAACTTGCAGGACTTTTAGAAGCATTGTAAAGCCTTGTATTTATTTTCATCAGTAGCTGTAATAATACTGTCACCTCCTCCATTTACACTCCAATTAATTCCCTGTTCAAACTCTTTATGTGTGACTTTACAATTAATTGGCTAATTCTTTATCAAGCTACTGCTGATCTCTGTGAGCAGACAGAAGTTAGAAGACCTGCAGATCTAAACTGAGCAGGAGTTTCAACACTCAAGAGTGTATTTACAATGTAAATGACACAATGATTACCTCAAAACCACAAATAAATAAATTAAACGAGAATAATATGACTTTGTATCATTCGACACCTCRGTTTCTAAAAGCAGAGCGGGTTCAGTCCAACCAACCTCTTCGTTTTAACAACAAWAGCATCTGAAAACATACCTTAATCRACACCATCGTTACAGCTGCTGTCCTGTGATTAAATACGAGATTCAGCTCCTTTTTTTTCCACGTTTATTTTCCCACAACCAATCCTCCGACCAGCGGCTTCCAGCCTCTTTTTTTTTCCTCCAGTCTGGACTGAAAATGACTTCCACCCTGACAAAAGATATCAGGCGGATGTTGAGCGTTTGGACACAATGCCTTCAACCAATCAGCTGGCGATGTGAGAAGGATTCGCTTCGCTGAGCCAATCAGATTTGCTCTCAAACTCAGCCGTCTGCTCATTGGTTGGCTGAGCAAAGCAAAGCCCGCCCACCTGAAAATATGGGAATCTCCTGCTAAGTAGCTACATTTATACCGTTTGAAATATCTGTACCAGCTTCATCTAGAACAGTGGTTCCCAATGCTGGTCCTCAAGTACCCCCTATCCAGCATGTTTTACTTGTTTCCCTGCTATTCAGCAGGTCTTCAGAAGATTGTTAATAACTTATTCATTCAAACTAGCTGTGTCAAAGCAGGGAAACAACCTGAATTCAGGTTGAATACATTAGATAACTGTATATGTTTCATAATCAACAATAACCAGGCTGTTTTTCAACAGGCTAAACAATAACTACTGAATAGTTTGACTTACTGACTGTAGCTTACAGTGATTTTGTGCGACACTTTGAAGTATAAAAGATTGTTCATCACTTTTTATTTTATAATAGTTAGTACATATG